CACTAAAACACCCATATTCTTTAACAGTACCTAGTGAATGAATCACTCATTTTTCCACTTTAATGGCGATTACACTAATTAAAAATTACAAAATTAGGATTGTTCAAAAAGAAACATATAATTAATATGAAAGCAAGTTTTATTAAAGATTAAGTAGACAGGATAAACAATTTAATTTCTCTTTGCTAAATTAAATTTCTTTTCTTGTCGTTGTAAAAAGCAACATTTAATGATAACAAATTTCAAGTTTCATAATAATGACAGATTTAATATGAAAATAGTGCAAAAATAGAGAAAGCATATATAAGTGTACGTCGGCGCACAAAAGCAAGCGTAATTTACATCTCTTATAACGTTATGATCATTTTTTTGAGTACATTGTACTACCCATATGCTTAACACGCGTCTCTTAAGCATCTCATTTTTTAAATCTTGCAAACCACTCTTGACCGAGGGATGATTAAAATTCACCACTGTTCATATTTTTTTGTCAAATTCAAATTTCAGTCCTCGAAAGGTGGCATTACATTGTAAGGAGCAAAGAATACACAAATTTGACGTCGATCGTGACCCATAGCGTTCTTCATTCGTCTGAATTTAACACACTCTCTCTACTTCTTATAGGAATACTATATTCGGTGAGGAGGTGAAAACTATTTTTGAATCTCTTATGCCATTTTATGAACAGCTTCTCTACTAAAGAAATTTTCTCCGTGGGGTGTCCAATAGCGCTAACTATAGGGCGACCTGGCATACCTTCTTTGTGTATCTTAGGAAGCAGATAAAATTGTCCTGGTCTACAGTCAATAGGATTGAGTGTCTCATAGACGTTGATACCAATCTCGTTTTTCTCAAACATTTCGTCAAGAGTTTTGGTGATGGCGGTGGAGAATTCTTTAGTAGGGTCAGAGTCCAGTTTCTTATAGAAACGTTCGTCTGAGAGTTGTCTATGGGCCTCCGCCATGTACGTCTCTTTATCAAGTACTACTACTGTAGAGCCTTTGTCTGCTTTCTTGATTACAATGTCATCCCGATTCTTTAATGATTGTAAGACGGATCTCTCTTCCTTACTCAAATTGTCGGGAGCCTTGTCTGGCATAGAAAGGAGTTTCTCTATGTCTGACTCAACGGCGTCAATATACGACTCAAGTGCTCCGCATTTGCCCGGTGCAGGTTCCCAGTCACTTTTTGGCCGATAGAGTTTGTGTTCCTCTAGGTCGTGCAATTGTGGCTGAGAAGAATCATATGAGTCAACTTCGGAGTCTTTTCTAGAAAAGTGCTCCTTCAACCGAAGTCTCCGAAAGAAAGCTCGGGTGTCCTCTCTGACTTGTTTTTCGTCGACCTCATGTGGCGTGGGACAGAAATTCAGCCCCTTGGAAAGAAGTGAGGTCTCCGATTCGGAGAGAGGAACACTAGATCTATTGAGCACTGGGCAGACGTCAGGAGTTTGTGAGGGTCCGTCCCTCGCGATTGTCGTTAAGCGCTTGAAGCGTCTCGAGCGGGTTTACGTGTTTTGTTTACTCGGACCTCTGATCGGTTGTTCCTGGTCTGTGGAACACAGTCTCGGAGAAATTTCTTTCTTTGAGTCTTGTTGAGTTCATTTGTTAGGGCCATATTATAGGTGTCAATAATATTGTGGGCTTCATCAAGATCAGCTTGGGACATGCTATCAGTGAGGGATAGCCTAAGGGTCTAGCCACCAGAATTCGGCGCATCTGTTCATCCCCTGCCTTATATCAAGAACATAGCGGTCTCCTTAAGTCCGACTTATGCAAGAGAGGCTACAATGCCCGCACCGTACAAACTGCTATTGATGAGATGGCGGGACATGACAGGCAAAACCTAATACGCTACAAGGAAAAAGACAATAGCGGCAGGGTCCCTCTGGTAACCACATACTATCCCGTCCTTAAGAACCTCAGCGGTATCCTTCAAAAGAATCTGCCAATTCTCCACTCAAATAAACGTATGGCAGAGGTCTTTAAGGAGCCCCCATTGGCTGCATACAGACGCCCGAGGAACCTAAAGGACATGGTAGTAAGAACCAGATTGGACAATCCATTACCTAACGGGGGCTTTAAAACTTGCTCTGACAGAAGATGTCTTCTCTGTAAGTACAGCTCTGACACAGACAGCTTTAAAAGCCCCGTTACAGGCCGCAGCTACAAAATACTAGGGAATTTGTCCTGTCAAACAGACAACTGCATTTATCTCATCGGTTGCAAAGTTTGCTCCAAACAGTATGTTGGTGAAACAGGAGATCTCCGCAGGAGAGTCAATAATCACCGTTCTACCATTAGGACCAAAAAAAATCAATGAACCCGTTGGGGAACATTTTAACCTTGAAGGTCACAAATGGGAGGACATGACAGTAGTGGTTATTGACCATAATCCAAGATGGACAGACACGCAGAGAAAAGGCAAGGAAAAGTTCTGGATGCACAGGCTGAAGTCATTCCGCCCTAATGGTATTAACAAACTTAATGACTTCACCAGGATGAACGTGAACTAGACCCAATCCCGGATTGTAACAAACAAGTTCATTCTCTCTATATAGTGTAAACTTTACCGTTAATTCGTATTAGCAATCCTGGAACAACCTACCCAAATATTAACAGCTTACATTTTTGTTTATTTCTTTTTTCCGATTTCCAAATTTATATTATATCCAAATTCATATTTCAAAATTGTCCTTCCTTATTATCTTTCTTTAATTTCTTTTTCTCATGTAGAGTTACGCTATTTTGAGAGAATAAGACAATGTACGATTTACTGTTGGTCGTAATTAATTAGCGATAATTAATTCGTTCAATTATGTAAATCACACTTCACCAGGGTACACCCGATAGACCGGACGCGATTCATAGCGCTCCGGATTTCTTTGTTCACAACTGTTTATAAACTCCAAATTAAACATGTAACATTGTAAATATTTAGTGTTTGGTAGTTTAGTAGTAGTGCTAGTTGTTTTTGCTTCTCTATTTCCTTTGTTTTTATGACTTCTTAACTTTTTTCTTTGTCCTGAGGAAGGGACAGGTCGTCCCGAAAATTTGACAATTATTATTGTTCGTGTCGTTGGTCATATTTAGTGCTTTATATAAATTTCCATCTGTGACATTGTATCTACTTAGTAGATCCGACACTTAGGATATACAGTGTTGTTGGTTTTTAGTGCTTTATATATATATATATATATATATATATATATATATATATATATATATATATATATATATATATATATATATATATATATATATATATATATATATATGTGAAAATTAAATATAACAAGGCAACAATGTTAGTAAAACGTAAGCGCTTTCATTATACTTCTTCAGACGTTTTACAATTCAAAACAATTCAAACATGTGACGTTATAACGCTACCTGATGATAACGTCAACAACAATACAATGACGTCACAATGCTTATAGAGGAAACAATTATAGAGTCTAAGTAAAATTACTTTGCTCATTAATAGCGTAATAAATAATAAAGTCATGAAACAGTCTATATTAAACTATTTAAGGACGGTTTAAAAATCTTGATGAAATGTTTTTCTTTTTCCCGTCTTTCTAAAAGATTTTCTGTTTTGAGTTTATAAAAGGGATAAACTGAGAATTGTCCCTGTCCACAAGTAGCAAGATGTTCACTGAGTTTTATTTTTCTGTACTCGGGTTGGTTGATATGTTGTCTATGTATGCGTATACGAGTGCGTAGTGTGGTCCCCGTTTCTCCTATGTATAATTGTCCGCATCCAGCGCATGTTATACAATAAATAACGTTTTTAGATGCACAGGTCATATCTGCATTGATAGTAAATTCTTTATTTCCGAGTGTAAAAGTACTTCCCTCTTTAATATACTGGCAGGTTCCACAACGTGAATCAGAGCATTTATTGACCACATACAAATTCCGTTGGTGAAATGTAGATTTACACAATATTCTTCGGAGGTTTTTAGGTTGTCTTTTACTGTTGATGAATTTATATTTTTCCAGTACTTTGGACATTTTCTCATCCGTCTGTAGAATGTTGTTGAGGTGACGCACTGTAGAGGTTATATTCCTGTTCTTTGGATTGTATGTAGTTACAAGCGGTAATATTGCAGAATCTGATGTGTCACTTTTTGAAGAATTAATAAGTTTATCTCTGTCGATTTCTATAGCCTTTCTGATTCCGTCCTCAATGATTCCAAGAGGATAGCATTGTTCAAGCAGATATTTTTTTAATTCATTCAGACGTTCATCTCTTTTTTTCTTGTCGCTAACAATAGTGCAGATTCTTCTTGCTAAATTGTAAGGGATTGAACGTTTCGTATGACTTGGATGACAGGAACTGAAATGGAGATATTGATGTGTGTCTGTCGGTTTGTAGTATATGTCTGTCGAAATATATTCTCCATGCTTTGCTATAAGGACGTCCAAAAACGGAATGCTTTGTAAACTTTCGTCCATTGTGAAGTTGATGTCAGGATCTAGATCGTTTATAATATTTAGGTAAACTGCTAGATTCGCATCGCTGTCATTCCAAATGATAAAACAATCGTCAAGGTATCTTTTCCAATTGTTCTTTATATTTTCTGAAGTCTGTTGGTCAAAGTACTGAGTAGTTTTTTCATACATCCTCTCCTCTAGATATCCTAGTGTAAGGGTGGCATAAGTAGGGGCCATCTTTGTACCCATTGCCGTTCCTTTCTTTTGTGCATAATGTTTGTCGTTAAAAGAGAAAGTATTATTTTCCAATACTATTTTACTAGCCTCTAAGATGAAGTCTTTGCTGAAACGCTCATTAATTTTTTGTGGATATTTATCAATCCAGTACTCGAGCGCCTTGACACCAAGAGAAGTAGTAATATTAGTGTACAAATTAGTAACATCCATTGTGACTAGCTTGGCATCATGACTAACTTTTTCAGGAAGATGTTTCAGGAAATCTAGATCATCCCGAACATAACTTTTTACTTCTAAACATAAAGGTTTCAGTAATATGTCCATAAGATGACTCAGCCTTTGTGTTGGAGCTTTTGGTCCACCCACGATAGGTCTAAATGTAAGATCCTCTGGATCGCTACATGTAATGTATGCAGAATTTTGTATTTTGATCGCTTCCTTAATTATTTTAGATTTGTGTATCTTAGGAAGTCCATAAAAGGCACTTTCTCTAAAATCAAAATTAGTCAAAAAGTCCTCTTCTTTGGCTGTTAAAAAGGAAGTTGTATTGTGGTTTTTTATTAAGTTTTTAATTTTTCGCATTGTCTTTTTATCACTGTTCTCTGATATTTCATCGTAAAACTCGCTGTTATTGAGCATTTGTAATATTTTTGTTTTGTAAAATTCTGCGTTCATAACTACTACTGCTCCACCCTTGTCTGCTTCTTTGATTACGATTGAACTGTCGTTTCTGCAATATTACCGCTTGTAACTACATACAATCCAAAGAACAGGAATATAACCTCTACAGTGCGTCACCTCAACAACATTCTACAGACGGATGAGAAAATGTCCAAAGTACTGGAAAAATATAAATTCATCAACAGTAAAAGACAACCTAAAAACCTCCGAAGAATATTGTGTAAATCTACATTTCACCAACGGAATTTGTATGTGGTCAATAAATGCTCTGATTCACGTTGTGGAACCTGCCAGTATATTAAAGAGGGAAGTACTTTTACACTCGGAAATAAAGAATTTACTATCAATGCAGATATGACCTGTGCATCTAAAAACGTTATTTATTGTATAACATGCGCTGGATGCGGACAATTATACATAGGAGAAACGGGGACCACACTACGCACTCGTATACGCATACATAGACAACATATCAACCAACCCGAGTACAGAAAAATAAAACTCAGTGAACATCTTGCTACTTGTGGACAGGGACAATTCTCAGTTTATCCCTTTTATAAACTCAAAACAGAAAATCTTTTAGAAAGACGGGAAAAAGAAAAACATTTCATCAAGATTTTTAAACCGTCCTTAAATAGTTTAATATAGACTGTTTCATGACTTTATTATTTATTACGCTATTAATGAGCAAAGTAATTTTACTTAGACTCTATAATTGTTTCCTCTATAAGCATTGTGACGTCATTGCATTGTTGTTGACGTTATCATCAGGTAGCGTTATAACGTCACATGTTTGAATTGTTTTGAATTGTAAAACGTCTGAAGAAGTATAATGAAAGCGCTTACGTTTTACTAACATTGTTGCCTTGTTATATTTAATTTTCATATTAATTACCGGACACTGTGATATTTCTTTTCATTTTTTGGATATATATATATATATATATATATATATATATATATATATATATATATATATATATATATATATATATATATATATATATATATATATATATATATATATATATATATATAGCTGATTAAATACTGTATCTAGATTATTTCAATTTTCCTATTATAAGATGTGGGAGGATCGGGAAATAAGGATGAAAATCAGAAAATATCAAACTTCGGGGAGAAACACCATGGTAAGTTAACACTTTATAAATTAGATATTAGTCAAACTATTCATTTCTTTTATTTTCTAAACTTTAAAAACTCCTACCGTTCCTTTATGTCAAAAATACGTTCTTTTCAACTTTTATTTTTGCCAAAACCATGCAGATTTGAATGCATTTTCGTTCCCATTAAGCAAAATTGAGAAACCCTTGTGGTTGAACAAATGAGCAGTTATTAATTCAGTTAAACTTATATTATATTTACTGTTTTACTGTAATTATACAATACGTTAATTACAGAGCTATACATATTGACAATGTAGAAAATCGTATTGCAAAATAGTGTGTTATCATCTTACTCTATTTATTGTATTGTATAATCTGAGCACGAGGTAAAATACTATTTGCTGAACAAATAAAAAAAAACAACGAATTATACCTAAACTATATGAAGTTACTTCATCAACCTAGATTAAATGTTTTTGTACTAGTTTCTTTATGTTTTTTTTTTTTTTTTTATGGTAGAATGCATTCCATTTAAGGTGATTGTCTTAGTGTCTGATCGTTGACGACTTTGGATTGATATCAAATTATGATTGTTGAACAAGTAATTTTAGCATTCAATTTTTACAATTCATGAGTTTTAAATAGTGTCGATATTGACAATATGGTTGTTATTTTTATTGCTTTTCTGTTTCTTTATACTTGTGTAGATGTTTCTTTTTTTTTCATTTAAGAAATTTCCCTTCCTTATGTAGTAATATTCTTATATTACGTATATGGTGTTTATGTCTCTAAACTGATTTGATACAGAAAAGGATGCTCTGAATACGATATATTTTTTAACCCAGACAAGCTACTGACAAATAAGTTGACGTAACAAAGATATCAACAACCCCATGTTCAGTCAGCTTTTCGTAAATTCTACGGTTTATTGATGGGTCGATTTTTGTCTGACATGTTTTAGACAGTTTCTTAGCCCATGGCTTTTTATAAATTTGCTTAGGACTACTCCGCCAACCTGATCAATACATTGGGCTCATAGGGTGTGACCGGTCAGTCGACAGGGCATGCTTACTCCTAGTTATCTTCACCTTTTACGTATCAGACATTGTTTGTTGATTTTCAGCAAATATTTAAAGAAACGGTCAGGAGACATCTGTGTCGAATAAAACCAACACTCCTTTAAAAAACAATTCTTTTTTTGAGATATACAGTTCAATGAAAACGTTCATAAAAAGAAGAAAACTCTTGATATAGCCATCAATCAAAATTTAGATATATCGAGGACGTTTTATTAATGAACAATATAGTCAAACCTCGTTATATGGTACTCGATGGCAGCGAGAAAAAACTTCAAGATATTCGAGGATTCGAGATATCCAGGATAAAATACTTAAGAAGTAAGCGTTTGGAACTTCAAAATCACTTTGACATTTGACATATCCATGATATAAGAGATATCAGTGTTCGAGATACCAAAGTTCAACTGTAGTTACTTCCACTTATATGTTAACTCGATATATTCCAGTGAACTCGAAGTCGAAATAAAAGACAATACAGATTCTGTCACATCTGTTTCATATTTTGATGTTTTATTGATAGAGGATAATGGCCAACTAATAAGTAAGCTGTATGACAAACGAAACGACCTCAGCTTTCCCATCGTCATCTTCCTTTTTTATGTAGCAATATTCTAACATCACGTGCTTATCATGTTAAGGTATCCCAGCCAATTCGATACGCAAGAACTTGCTCTGAATTCCATCAATTTTTAAACCGCGGGAACTACTAAAGTTGATATTAAAATCTCGGCAACCTCGTCTAAAGTCAGCTTTTCGCAAATTCTGTGATTGTAATAATTACTTTGTTTGTAAATACAGCCTACCGGTGGGTCGTATTTTGTTTCACTTGTTTTATACCATTTAATCTGTTATCATTGCTTTTATACTAAATTTGACTATGGAATACTACGTCTTCTTAATCAGTACATACAGATCAAGGCGGTAGTGACAGGTCGAAAGTGGATGCTTTTTTTCTCCTAGGAACCTGATCCCACCTCTGTTAGTTCTAGGGTTGGTCCGTGTTTTTGCCCTGTTCACGATTCGTTTTGTTTATTGGACCTATGAGATAGATCACTGTTCGTTATATCTATCTTTTACATTGAGAGCACTTTGCACTCATTATTACTGCCCTGGCTATTCATAATCATGGACTGAGATGTATATGCAGAGAAAATTCAACAACGCAAGACACGGTAACGTGCGGTCCAAGAAAAAAACTACTTGTATCAAATTGGTCAAGTTTAAGTAACCGGTTACTCGCTAACTTTTTCGATCGATTACCCGGTTACTAGTACTCAGTCTAAATTTGAAGCCCTTTCACCTCTCTATATGAGTGAAAATTCTCTAACTGGACGTAAAACAACATAAAATCAATCAATCAAAACCAGAAATGTTTCTTAATAAATTTGCTGTGGAATGTCCCGTAATAGTTGCCTGTTTTTACAACGTGTTCTATATTCCCTTTCAAATATTTTAACCTTGTTGATTTTAATTCTTTTAAAAATATTTTGGATTCTATAATTCTGATGGCTTTAGCGACATCTTGTTTAATCCTGTACTGCACAACTAGCGCAGTTTAATAAACGTAACTATAATTAACTCGGGTCTTCTAAACGGATCCTCCAAATGCCCTTTTCAACTTGTATACCCCTTTGCAATCAAAACTATCAATACGATAAAATATGAAAACAAACTATATTCAAAACAAATCGGCCGTATTTGTGAAACTGTGGATCAAGTCTAGTCAAATAACGTTAAATAAAATTGGGGACATATATATGTGACTTTTTATGAACATAACATTTTTTTCTACTTTTGTTTATATACATGTATATCCAAGTAACGGATTATGGGTTTAACTAACCGATATTCGCATCTTTCGACGCTTAACCGGTTGACCGGGCACTTGTTGACAACACTGACAATTTAAACTGGATACTGCAAACGTAGAAATGATCATATTTAACACTTACTGCTTTTCACTGCTTCTTATCAGGTAATTTAAGAAACCATGCATATCTATGTATAGAGTAAACAAATACATATAGAAGCTTTTCTCGAGTTGGACAACTTTATCATGACGCTAATCAGTTGATAACGAAGATTGTGCAAATTCTTAATGCCTTTATTTATATATTTCTACAGTATTCCATCTATATAAAGGCAGTTGTAAAACAATCAAATATATGTCATTTCGTTAATAATTGTTACCATTAAATAGGATTATGCATTATGTGAGAAAATTCTACAAAAAGTGAACTTAAAATCTTAATAAATCAAAATTTTTAATCTAAATATCTCTTTTTCAAATCTGAAACGAATATTTACTTAAATAAAATTAACAGATTCTTCGACGAAATGATTCATTTCAAACAAGATTGATATTACATAGAATTTTCACAAAATTAATATTCTCATTTTATTTAGCTTTAATTTAAAGATCGTAAATATTTCATTTCGAACTTTGGTATAAAAATGTTTTGTTTGGAAAAAAAATATGTTTATCGTACTTTATCTTTTTTATCAGCAGTGACTGCAAGGACACAATATAATGCTGGGAGACGTAATGACGGAGAGGGTGCACAACTCATTAGTATGTATAAAATAGTAAACCGAACGATAAGTCACAATGTTTTTGATTTTTCATATGTTTAGTGATTCTTTTCTGAATGCTTACCAAAGAAGTCAATGATGTGTTAATTTGTGATATTGCAGTGTATGAAAGCCAAAATTTATACCATTTTAAGATGAATCTATCCTCTTTTCAATATAAACAGAAAGAGAAAATTTTTGTATTTTTGTTTTATTGTAGATAATACCGAAGGGAGGGAGAACTACACTGATATCGATTTTGGTATCTCACGTGTATGGGTGATTGTAAGCAATGCAACGACATACAAAAGTGCAGCAAAAATCCAGACAATTAGTCAACGGTATAGCAACGAAAATCTTGTCTACATTAATGACATACAAGGGAGTTGGAGAACTGGAATGTCTCAAAAGGAGGTCATCATATTCCGCTCAGGTTATTTCTCGACTCTGGAACATATCAAAAAAGATTTCGATGAACTCTATGATCATTTACAAACTCACACGAAACTTTGTTTGGTTTTTGATATTTATGAAGACAAATGGCGACGTCTTGTAAACGACATTAAATTGATCCAACTTGCTAAAATGATTTACATTCCGTAATAAACAAAGTAATATTACAGAAAAACACAGATGTTTAAATAACAATGGTACACGGCTACAGCAAGAAGAGAGATGGAAGAATATTTTCCCACACATCTAGGAAAACTTTTTAGGTGATCTTTGAGGATTTGACAGATGCAGTTATTTTATAAAACAAAGAGCAAAGACGATGCTGTTGACTTTTGAGCTTGAGGAATGCCGTGTATATTGACATGTTTAATACGAGTGTTTTCCTAGATTCAAGTGACATGCAGTCTACAATAATCAAGACATAAAATAATCTTCAACTTGTTCTGAAACATTTTACAAGATGAATCTTAATTTTGGACATACATTATAAATACCTTAATCTTAACGACTTGAATACTACGTTTTAATTGCTTTATATAGAATTTTATGGTTTGAATAAATGTTGTGATCCATATCATATTTCAAAATTTCAGACTGTTTTAGTTTTGGTTATTCTTACTTCAAAATTCATATTTACGTACAAATCCGAAAATATGTGATTATAAGCAACAACACAAACAAAAGCAGACAATAAGTTAATGGAAAATCTTGCCAACATTAATGACGCACATAGATTTAGAACTTGGAAAACTGGATTGTCTCAAAAGGAGGTCATCATATTCCGCTCCTGGTTATTTGTCGACTCTGAAGCATATCAAAACAGATTTCGATGAACTTTATGAGCATTTACAAAATCAGAAGAACTTTTACAAAGTGTATGAAATTACTAAACGAAGATGGGAAACTCTGAGGAAAGATGTTAAATGTATTTAACTTGCTAACGAGATTCACTTTCTGAATAACCAAATTGCTGAGTAGCTATTCTTATAAGGATAAGCTCCCCCCCCCCCCCTCCCCGTTCCTACGGCCATGTTGTATATAGCTCCCTTCCGCATTATTTTTGACAAAACTGGCCTGAGAACCTTGAGTTATTAATTTTTTAGGACAAATATTACAATAAAAAAATTATTCAATAATAAGAAATCTCAGCATTCCCGCCCAGTGGAGAACACAGTGAGCATGCAGTTCTGTGACGTGCTAAACAAATCACTTTATGAGGTTATTATCTATTTATATGAGGGTATAAAGTTATTACCTTATAACTCTGCCTTATTTGTGGTTTTATCACAGGCAAAGACATTTGGAAATCAAAATATTAGTAGTTATTTCATTAAAATAGTGTTTTCCTCAAAATGAATTGATCATTTTCATAATGTATACATTTAAGAAATTGTATCAAAGATCATAACTCATATATGTATAGTTTGTATAAATATTTTGTATGAGTAATGTTTACATGTGGTTAAGATTTTAAATCAAATTACTGTCTTTTTTTCAATTACTTAAAAAAAATTCAATTGGATCCGTGTCTATATAATTATGTAAACTTGTAAAAAAAAAAAATCACCAACACTTCTTGAGAATACATCAGTATAAATCGACTGATGCATTCTCATGGTGTTGGTGATCTGCTTTATGTCTTTAAGCTTTTGATTAAAAAAATACACATGTGACCGTACCTTGTTAAACTTATGTTAAGAATGACATACAATGTTAACTCTGTATGGCAGAAATAACTAGTAATAAGTATTTTACTAGAAGGACAAGCAGTTGGAAATGTAAGAAGTGAAGACAACAAACGGTCAGGTGAGTCCACATACAACTTTACAAAAACAGTTGATTTTTTACACTTTCTTTAAAGATAAAATCTAAAATTTAAAAAAAAACTACAATGTTTTTGTTGTTTTTTTTTTTAGAAGAAGTTAAAAATGAAAATGAAATCAATGAGGCCAGTGAACTATTGGGTAAGTTTGAATGGAAGTCATGAATCAGCGACACTGTCCATCAATACAACCACCCCCCCCCCCACACACACACACACCAAAAAAACGCACAACGAAACAATAGTTTATTGTGTATACACTTTTTCTGCAGTCAGGGAAACTAGAGGTGATAATGTTTTGTTTGTAGAAACAAGAAAATAATATTTAAGTAATCATCAAAACAAATGAAACATGAGTTTTTACAACTCATAAACATAAATAATGGTATCTCCATATGTTGCGGTACTTATTAATCCACTATCGGTGAAACCGGAGGTTTTCTCTGCGTCTGTCCGTCTGTCTGTCTGTACGTCTAGCTGTCCCTCTGCCTGTCTGTCAGTCTGTCGCACTTGGTTTTCCGCGCTTTTTTTCCTAAACGCTTGCAGATATTGAGCTGATTTTTGGTATGTGAGTGCATTTTGATGAGTTACAGATCAAGTTTGCATTTCGTTCCGCTTCATTGATTTTTGATTGATTTTTTTGATTTTTGACGGAATTACGACCTTTTCAATTTTTAAGGGTTTTCCGCAATTTTTTTCTAAACGCTTGCAGATATTGAGTTGATTTTTTGGTAGGTGACTTTACCTTGATTAGTTTTAGATCAATGATTTTTGACGGAATTATGGCACTTTCGATTTTTAACGGGAACCAGATTACACTTGCCGGTAGCGGACTAGTATTGCTAATGCAATATTCTCAGAATGCTTGTTTCTTTTGCGTAAAAAAAAGTTATTCCAAATTTTTACTTTAACTATTCATAAACCTTACAATGAGCTTATTAACTTTTTAATGACAAATTATTTTCAAACATTGCTTCGTTTAATTCGTAGTCTATTTTTAAAATAGGAAATCTTATAACCTCCTAAAATGGAGAGTCTCATTCTATCATTGTATTGGAATACATTGAAGATTGGCGCTGTCATGAAGTGCAATTTTTTTTTAATTCAGCATTTGAATCTACATGAAATAAGAAATAATAACAGATTAAAGCTTTCGAAATATGAACTTCGTTATGGTTTTTACTAGGTTTATATATTCAATAGTCTGAGTGTGTACCCTAATTTTGGGAAATATCGCGATACAATAGAACCCGCGATATAATGAGAACGGAGTATACCACATAAAAATAAGAGTAATTTGATGATCCTTGCTCTTTTAAGGTAATGAAAGTTCAACAGAATGCAAGGAATCCATAAAAGAGTGATGCCAAGGTAGTTTTTGTGATTTTTATGCCCCCGATCAAAAGATCCCGGGGGTATATTGTTTTTGTCCTGTCTGTCTGTTTGTCTGTTTTTCCGTTTGTCTATTTGTCTGTCTGTCTGTTGTCAACTTTAACCTTGCTCATAACTTTTGATTGGTTGGAGCTATGACTTTCATATTTCACATGTGTATTCCATGTGACAAGGCCTTTCTTTGGGTACCATCATATTTGACCCTTGACCTTGACCTTGGGGTTTGACCCATATTTGCAAAATTTTATGAGACTTTAACCTTGGCCCTAACTTCTGAACAGTTGGTGCTTGGGTTTTCAAACTTCACATGTGTATTCCTTGTAACAAGACATTCCTTTGAATACCAACAACTTTGACCTTTTGACCTTGACCTAGAAGTTTGACCTACTTTTGAAAAACTTTAACCTTGGCCATAACTGTTGAATGGTTGATGCTAGGGCTTTCTTACTTCACATACGTAATCCTTGTGACATCACCTTCCTTTGGATACCAACCACTTTGACCCTTTGACCTTAACATAGGAGTTTGACCTACTTTTGAAAACTTTAACCTTGGCCATAACTTTTGAATGGTTGATGCTAGGGCATTCTTACTTCACAAATGTAATCCTTGTGATAAGACCTTCCTTTGGATACCAACAACTTTGACCTTGACCTTGATGACCTTGATGTTTTACTTACTTTTAAAAATCTTTAACCTTTGCTATAACTTTTGAACAGTTGCAGCTAGGGTTTTCAAATTTCAGAGGTATATTTTTGGAGACAAGACCTTTTCTTTGGGTACCAACTTTTTTTATCTTTTGGCCTGGATTTTAACTTGCATTTGAGAAACTTTCACCTTCGCCATAAGCTGCCATACGGGGGCATCAGTGTTTCACAAACACATCTTGTTTATTTTAGATTATGACATGTTTATTTTCATACCTTTAAAGGTGATAAACTGAAGATTAAAATTATCATTCCAGTGTATGTTATCGAAAATCAGAAACCAAAAGAGCAGACCGGTGTTCAAGAACATGAAAATTCTGTGCGAGTTCTGGTGTTAGTGTTAATAAAACCAATCAACAAGGTGGAAATGGACTCAAAAGCCAAGGAAACGTTTGGACCATATTGTAATTATTGTTGGACTCTTTCTTATTATCAGAATCGCAAACAAAGGGAAAGTGTTTCTTTATTCCCAAAAAACTTTGACTTTCAAACTGTAAGTGTAAAGAAACTTTTTGAGATGATACTTGATATTTTTACTAAGACTGAGGTGGATGTAAAGTTTGTTATAACGATGCCATGGAGTCTGTGGACAACACACAGAGCTGAACTTTCTCCTTTTCTGAATGAGGATAAAAATATTCGTTTTACATCTGAATATTGGTAATATACCCCCAAACAGTGACAAAAACATAATCATACATTGAATATAAAGAATAAAGATATTTTAATTACATTTAAACAAAACATTTTTCAAAAAACTGTTTTATATAATCTGTGCTCTCAAACACTGCCTGGTATTTTATATACTTCATTGAATTTGATATTCTTTTTTTATTATTATTTTAACAGCCGGAAATCTACTTGAAGGTTTTCAAATTTTTATTTTATTTTTTAAGAGAGAATTAGTGAGATATTTGCATGTATTTTATGAAAAATATTACTAGTACCTTAATAAATAATAGGCACCAGTTAGATAATTACATGTTTGTATAAAATTTGTTGAAAAAATTGTATGATATGAAATACGTAGACTACTTTATTTATTGTGGTATAAATGATTGTTTAAAGGTGATAGCATGTTTACCATTTCCTAACCTGGGAAACAGGCATACATACCTACAAGTCCTACATACATACATGGGGCGCGCTAAAGCACGATAATCTGATGTATATCAATTGTATTATGTATACACGAAACTGATATTCAAATCGAAATTCATATCTTCAGTTTTCATGAGAGTGCATGCCACTTTAAAAAGAATAAATCAATGGGGTTTTTTTACGAATTATAATTTTATAACTCATAACCATTTTGAACTGCAATGAATAGCTTCAAAAATGCTATATTTTATATACAAGGGAGAATGGTGCGGATTCTATTCGCATCATTCTCCCTCTTATATAAAATATATGAGGGGATACAATCTCTCTATATATCTCTTTTTCAAAACAATACTTTAGGCAACAAAATGTGCAAATGTTCGCAGCACATATTGTCCTCAACGACAACTTGTGCCCATATGTAAGGTACATTTTGCATATTTCAGCACATATTGTCGGCTGCTTCAGTATGTACTCATGGACGACAATTTGTGCAGTGAAGGTAGGTACATATTGTCACCGATAAGAATATACACAGAGCGTCCCAAATGCCAACAGCAGAAAAAAACACAGTGTTTGACCTTGAACATATAGCATATAGGTTATAGCAAAATTATTCTAAATATAAATACCATGGTTGAAATAGTAACACAATATATCAACCAGCAGCGGATCCAGGAATCGCAGTAGAAGGCAGAGGGTCTGGGGTCTGCATTGAAGCCCCCAGCGGGTCCAGGGTAAAGCCCTGGTGGAGGTTCGGGGCGAAGCCCCCGGAAACTGACGAATTCTAACAAATAAAAGGTGTTTTTCCCTTGATTTTAGGATAAAACAAACAAAACGTTAAAAAAAATCAAACGAGGGGGGGGGGGGGGCGGGGGCACAGGCGCTGGATCCGCCTTTGTATCAACACAGTTTGTGGTTATTTGATGAATACTGCCATCTTAATGAAAGACATGGAGAATCATTACTGCCAAATATGTATTTTTAATATTTTATCAATTATGCACCATTATTGACCCTTGTGTGATAGCTGTTTGCATCCATTTATAGATTGTATAGTAACCTAAATAAAAGTCATGCTGCTTTAAAATATCAATGATAGAAAATATTTGAAGTTTACTTACAAGAGTTAAATTTTTAACAGATATATATTTTTCAACATTGTAATACATTTTTAAATAACCTACTAGTCCATTTATATTAGGCATTTTCAACACTTTTAAGTGTATATTCAATTATGTTCAAATCATCATGACCGAAGGGGTAGGGCATGGCCACAGTGGGTGATTAAAGGTTTTCAAAGGAAAACATGTGAAAAAATCTTGTAAAATCTTTTTTTTCCAAGAACAACAAAGCCATGAGCAGTCATATTTATATGGAAGCATCCATAGGTCGTGTAGATTCAAATTTGTTCAAATCATGACCCCCGAGGGTAGGGTGGAGCAACGACGTCTAATCAATTTTTTACATAGGAAAAAATCTTCAAAAATCTTTAATTCTTCTCAAGAAAAGGAAAGCCATGTTCAGTCACTATTATATGGAAGCATCCACAGGTAGTGTCAAACCATGACCCCCAAGGCTAGGGTGGGGCTACAGTGGGTGATCAAAGTTTTATATAGGTATGAAATAATGTCATTAGAGCCCCCACCCTTATTTCAGAACCCCTGATTATTCGGGCTATGAATTTCACTATTTTTGTAAAGGGTTCAATGCTTATTACAGTCATGCCAACAGTCATGCTTAATGTTCAGAAGTAGAGAGAAAGATTTTTAAAGATAGCAGTTATTTTTATGACCCCCCCCCCCTCAGGCCCCAGGGGGCAGGGACCATGAAATTCACAAATTCTTTACCCCTTCACCCATTGACGTTGAAATTGGTTCAGTGGTTCAAGAGAAGAAGCTGAATTCATTCAAAAATTGAGTGACTCGGGTGACCAAAAACTCCAGTTATTGAGGTTAGACATGAAATATGAAGATAATGAACGGTACATGTATTCAAGCTCAAAGTCGGTTTAAACAATACAAATCGTTAGCAATGCAAACAGAGGTGGGGTCAGGTGTCATGGTGCATCTATAGTATCTTAATTTTTGTATAGTTATGTAAAACTTCTAAACAAGAGGCCCATGGCCCACAACGCTCACCTGAACAACTATGACCCTTCTTGTAATGTTCTTCATCAGTAGATTCTTTTTCCTATATATTCCTATATAAAACTAGTCAGTTATACGTGTACATATTGTTTTGACATTATTCAAGATCTTACTTTCTTATCTGTTTTCACATTACTGAAGATCCCAGTGTGTTCTACATGTAGGTATTGGCATAGTTGAATACTTAAATTTATTCTACGTCCCGACGTTATTGAAGGTGTTACTTAGTTACTTTTCATACTAATTGTTAGGCCATTATTTACAAACTGAATTGTCGGCGGATATTTCCGTTATTTCCCGATCATGACAAGGAGCACACGGCGGGTGTGACCGGTCGGCAGGGGATGCTCACTCCTGCATGGCACCTGATCCCACCTCTGATGTTTGGAGGTCCGTGTTTGCTCTGCTCCTATTTTGTATTGTTTAATGGACTTTTGAGCTTGCATACTGTTCGTTATCTCCATATATTTCATTAGTTAAACATGTTCGTCTCTACATTATTGAAGGTGTTGGTTTTTCTACCATACCCCCGGGAGTCATGATTTGAATAAATTTGAACCTACACAAGCTGAGGATGTTCCCATATAAATATGACTAATCACTGATTTCCTGTTCTTGAGAAGAAGATCTTTAAAGATTTTTCCTATTTCTTTGAAAACCTTCTTCTCTGCTCCTAGGTATTAGCAAAGTGCAAAGTTATGATAAGCAAGGATGCCTCTTCCGAAATTGTGAATTTCATGGCTCCTGGGCACAGGCACTTGTTTCTGTAATAAATTTTTGACCATAGTATAATAATAACACAAGGTATCCAACTCCGAATTACATGGAGTACCTCCCTCCCCCAGAATCGCACTCATTTACACTTTCAGGGGAAATGCACTGGCAAACTGTTTATACCCATGTCCTCTACGATAATTTATCTACAAAACCATATATGGCATGCTTGTCTTTATATTCTTTTATCTCCGTAAACAGCGTCAAAACGCTGCTCGCCGAGTGCAAAAGTCGAACTCAACCATG